GTGGTTTAACAACAAATGACGACGATGAAATTCGTTTATGTTTAAATATGTTGCAAAAATCTCATGATGATACTGGATTTATGCATGAATCAATTGATATTAATGATCCAATGAAATTTACACGATCTTGGTTTGCATGGGCTAATAGTTTATTTGGAGAATTTATTTGGAAATTATATAGAGAAAAAAAATATCTACTAGATGAGATTCACATTGAAAGAGTATAGCTTTTTTTCTCTTTATATAGACTTATTTTTTGTTATAAAAAATTTTATGAAAGAATTTATATTTAAAAAATAAAACTTTCATTAGTAGTTTTTCATCGATAAAAGTAATACTGTTTTTGTTGTGTATGTATAGACAAAATGAGCCTAGAACACAGAGACTTTCTACGATGAATGGAATACAATCGAAAAGATTTGTTAGTATGACCGTGAGTCATTTTATAAAAAAAAGTCACGATTAACAATCATTTTGGTGTCAAATAGCATGAATTAGTAGAATGCTTCACTTTTCTATGATAATGTCTATCAGAAACAGAGACAAGAAGAACTGTAGCCAATCATCCAAACAATATCATGTCATAAGGCGTAACTTATAAAACATGATGAAAATCAATTTACTGTTTCTCGAAATGATGACTATCATAGATGATGAAACCGTTTACCATACTTGCAGTGAGAGTGAATGTCAATACCGTGTGTACGTGTGGACCTTTTCTTCACGCGCATTCCACACCTTGAGCTTAGAACTTTCAAACCTGGACATTGCCAGTAGAAAGCCTAACTCAAAGTGTGTCTTAGATAAAACTTTCACTTCGATCGGAAGACTTAGTGAGAAGATAGGCAGGCTTGACCTTAGGGCGTTAATGAGGCCAATGCGATTTTAGCATAGAATTCATCTCTTTAACTCTTAAGTTCAACAAAAACGATATGTATATGAGTGCGTTTTATAGGTCTTGGTGAGCTCCATAACCAGACGTAGCTTTCACGGCTATTTCACATGCATAGTGTTTATGTTGTATTTTTGGAATTCTTACCCAATATGTAAGACCTACAGCTTAACCCGATCACGTCCACTTTTTGCACTCAGCATCGTCAGGATGACCTTTATTTATGCTAGACAGTAGAATTCATTGTGAAGCTGTTGAATTCCTTCATTTTATAGTGAAATAATGGAACTTTTTAAAAATCGGTTGTCAAAGTGCTCTTCAGAGTCTAGCTGGATATCTTAGAATGCAGACGATTTTTTGACACGCTAGTAATTTTTCTCTAGACCTCGAGTCGTATATGATTCGATGCCACTGAAGAGACCTACAAAATTAGGTTTTAACAATTCGTGGCAGTTTTATAGTTGTAGTCGCAAGGGACTTTTAAATCCAAAAAATGCATGTCATATGCACTCATTTTTCGTATAATTTGTGGTTTTCAATTCCACATAGTACCAAGTGTAGACAATAAGCAGAATTTTAAAATTACAGGTTTTGTAAAGAAAACTAAGAGCTTTCGATCAAATGTGAACCGGTTGAATCGGTCAATTCACTATAAACAAAACTAAAAACTACAAAGTGCCACAAAATTCCTAGGCAAAACTGCGTGTGTGAATCGGAGGAAAAAGTCTTGTATAACGGCAATTTTTCTTTCGAATATAAAATAGAAAACACTGAGATTCACTAGTAAAATTGAATGCTATTTTCGATCACATACTCAAAACCAAAAACTGAAATTAAATGGTGGTCGGTTTGTACAGAACGTGTTTGACAGCCCCGCAGAAGTTCACTCAAATAACCGATAAATTTCAAGAAAAAATAACGATTTCGTAGCGCTTTGGCCGATGATTCGTCTGTATTATTAGTCGATGCTTTGAGAAAGCAATCAATGCTTGATTCAAAGAAAGATAAGATCAGAGTGAACTAAGTATAATTTAAATGTTCACTGTAGTCTACTAGATAAAAGCTCATTCATGGTCAAAAACAGATATCCTTGTTACTTCGACCAAGTTACATTACATAGGCAAGAAGAAACATGTTGGTATGCCTGTCACAATTGGTTAGATGGGCTAGGATTATGCTCAGTTTCCTCTCAATATAATTCCACCTTTATTATTAGTAATGTTTCGCCAACACGCGCCTTGTTGTGGGAAACCATGTCTATGAACACTCTCTTTACAATGCGTAAAATAAGCTCGTAGCACGAACCCCAAATCACAACCTTTTGAAGTCTTTTACTGAAGCTCTTCTTACAAAGTATCATATACCAAAAAGAACTATCCAAGCTTTTACTGGACTAGTAGTTCAAAGTCGATAGTTGATTAGCGATGGGTCCAATATCAGGCGAAAATATTTTGAAGAATTATTATATGTCGTCGAAACAATCTTTGAGGATGGTGATAAAAGGAAAACATTTAATTTGTCAAGTCTTCGGAATGGAGCACTGATTGGAGGCAGAAATGGATTAGTTCTAACAAATCGTCTGTTCGGCATCTACCTTGGTGAAGAAAAACACGGGATGTGGGGTATTGCTGAGGTTGCAGATGAAGAGAAGATCCACGGCGACATTCGACGGGCACATCAACACCATTTCTTTATAAATGACGTTTAATTATCGGAAGTCAAAGGAAATAAAAATCAGTATTGTATAAAGATTACATATACTCCTTAGCTGCCCTTTGAATAGCCAAATTCACCCTCGAAAGAGAAAAAAATTCATCATCATCTATGCTTGATCTAGAAAGGGTTTTGCAATATCCAAGTGTATCGTACACATCGTGTCGACATAAAACATACTTTCAATGATTCAATATCATCAAGAAAAAAAGTATATGCTCGTCGGATTTCGATAGCTCAGTGGTTAGAGCATTGGCCCCAACAACCAGTAATCGGTCATGAGTTCGATTTTCAGTTGTAGCATCTTTTTTCTTATCTGCTTGTTCATCGAAAGTCAAAACAAGATGTAGATTAAAGAGTTAGTCTAAGGTGTCCGCATATTGATATCACTTCCCAGTGACCTTCCTTTCCTCTTTCCGCTTTGTCTTATCCCTCTTGTTCTGTCCTGTATTCATCTGTCTCTATCGTCCGTTCCTATGCTCATCTCTCTCTCATGCTCTCTCTTATAGAAGCGTGCATTTTATACGAAGTAGTTACATTCTAGATATGTGAGTTAACCAAATATGTATCATGACCGAGGATGACAGTAAGCTACTCTATCGAGTTTGTCGCTGCATACAGAAGGTAGATGAAGGAGATAAAAATGGAGAACGATGGCTGTAGATTTCGAGGAACAAGAGTATGCACAATAAGGTAGCTATAAGTATGGTAATATATGTATACAGACATGGATTGTTATAGGCTTAGCAGAGTTGCATCTGAATCTGCACGAAGTTTTGACTAAGAAAACTTTTTTGAAACCAAACGAAAACGGTTTTGTACGAAACCTTATTTTTACGAAACTTAAAAAAGGTTTCGATTTCGTTGCAAAACTCAGAAGCTTTTTTAAGTTCCGTGCGGTGCCCTTCTTTCAGTGTAGTCGAGCATGGGCGGGCAACTATATATGAGTGAAGAGGTTCTATCAAACGGGCGGGAAGATAAGAAAGCAATGGCCTTGCCAAACGAAATCTTTTACAAAAAAAGATTTATTTTCAAAAGAAAACTATTCACTGCCTCATTACACTCGGAAGAAATCTAATACAAGTCATTCCTTTATTGAGCACAAAACAGCAAACAGTCAAACTCATTTTTCGATGGAGAATAGTTGAACTCGACGATTTCCGTCGTCAACAACATACAGATTCCCATGTCGATCGAATGACAAAGCCTCGAGACCCTTCAACTGGTTTGCTTCTTTTCGTCAACCATTTTCACCAGCAGTGACTGTTCTCTGTGTCGTTCCATTGTACCAACGCATCAATAATTATTCCTCGAGGATTCTGCAATTGTGTAAGATCATCATCTCGTCCTCGACCACCGGTCACGACTATCCCTTCTTTCCCACCCTTTATCTATTTCATCACACGGTGATTGAGTGTGCCTGAGACATAGACAGAATAGTCTCGATCAACAAAGACGTAGCTGGACCAATGGAATTGATTGAGACGATCACCTTTTTCATTGCCATCCGCCAGGGTGTGTGTATGTTATCACTCTATTGTCATCCACACCCACCACTACCCACACCCTGCATTCGACTATTATTTAGATACAGAGTATTATGACACCGGCGTGTCAGTATAACACGGAACGCTGAAATCATTATCGTCATTGTTTAGTGCACTTCGGTACTTCAGTGAACAACGATTTCAATGAAGTCAGTGCAGTATAGTCAGTGTGCCACTGGACACTTCACTGGTGACGTCAGTCATCAGTTAGCTGAAGCTGCACATTCATATTTATACTGCTACTCTGAATCCATCTATCCTGAAAACTTCGAAATTCTACTTTCGAACATTTTTGATAAAATCTGAAAAGTGAGGGAAAACTGTGTCTTTTAAGCATAGACAATGAGAAATATTTTGTGTGAAAGTATGTTTCACTTTATTTGTGTTTTTTATTTTTTTGACATATTCATTAGTCTGGTAAGTAGTAATATTGATTCAATTCAACATTGCCACAAGAGAAAATTAGTGTACACGGATTATTCATATTGGTTTTGATTGTTACGTTATTATAGTCAATAGTTGCAATCATTTTATTTGTAGATAATATTATTTATAATAATAAATGTTTCATTATTTGAGTTGTATGAGTATTGTGAACTTTCAAATTA